GGGGTGAGGACAAAAGAAAAAGGAAAATGCTTTTCTTGACACTTCAACCTGAACCTTTCTAAGTTCCTCTTTTTGTGATCTCCTGATTATTTATGAAACCATGGGCATTTCCATTGCTAGAATTTGCCTCAATTGGACTCCCAACATTCAAATGAGTACTTAAAGTCTGGAAAACTTCTTTCTTTCCTGTTATATGAAAATTTTCATTCACCACCAAACTCCACAACATTACAAACAAACTGAACTGAATTGCATCAAAAAAGTAATATTTGCCTCCCCTAAAGACCAGACACTTTATCACGACAATAGCTTCAAGGTTTGAACATGTCTGCAAAATAAGCAACTCCTGCTGAAAAAGAGTATTCAATTCGCATGAGCATGCTCAGTAGGCATCTGTTTCTCCTCGCACCATTTCTGTGCCTTCATTGTCTAACTTCCAATAAGTTCAACTCTGCCTTCGTTGTCTAACTTCCAATAAGTTCAACACCTTCTATCCCTATCAAACACTCTTCAATACCTCCCTAAACTCTCTCATTTTGATTCATCAATAGGAAAACCAATACGAGTGCTGCCTTTCCTGCGCTGGCCCTATTGCTTGAAGAACACAATTATTACAGTACTTCACATTACAAAATTCTCCATGAACCTATTCGCTTTATAACACCTATGACCCTAGGCTCTCCTGACTTCTCATTTTCATCAAATACAACACCAATTACTGACAATGATACCACCACCACAAATATCAATATCACTTATTCGATATTGTGAGGTGGCATGTTCTGCATAATATATCAAATTTAAGCCATTATCTTACATTCTCAAATTTCCCGTGATTGTAAGTAGCATTGTCAGTGTATTCTCTCTTGGAGGAGAATTTGGAAGATTCTCCAGTTAGTTTTTAACTATCCAAATGTCGAAATGGAGCACAGTTACAATCTTATAGAACTCTATCATTTTTCTGATCTCCAATTACTGAACTCATGCGTATCGAATTATTCACACTAGAACCTTCAACAAAGCTGGAATACCTAATCCCACAAAGTTCTAAGCTCTTCACTCCACCATAGTACTGGAGTACCGTGAATTTTTGCTTAATTTAGGGGTTAGCACCAAGGTTTCAAGAAAGTGAATGTTATATTCAGCAGATTATACCGTTTACCAGAATACAAAGCTAGTATAACATAATACAAACGAAGACAGCCAGAACTAGCCTTTATCATTTAAGCAGATTCAATAAAGAAAAATATGCATTTAACCATGGAAATTATTACTGCAAACTCTGGTATATTTAAGATAAGCATATATCATTCTAGAAAAAAAAAAAAAACCCTTAAAGCGAGACTAAGAAACATTAAAGAAAAAGAGCAACCTAGAAACTGAAATCAGATTGCTCATGACAGAAAGATGCAAACTAGCATCTTAGTGCTCTATACCACTTCAGCTAGGGTTTCATGACCATGAGGAAAATTTCATCCGTAACTCGGAAGATGATCACATAGAAGACAGGAGTCTTCTTGGTTTCCTTCCCTCCCTTTATGAGCTGAAAAATACGTTGTTGGGTTTATTTAAAATTATGGATTGAGAAAAGAAATATCATTTACTTAGGAGATGTAAAATCTATAAAGTTATTATATTTTAGGATAGAAGTTATTTGTGAGTTGTTTTATTATGTACACTTTAGTGTTTACAAAGAGAAAAAATAAGTTTTGGATTATTTTGAGATTTAAGTACAAAATTAATTTTATAAGATATCATGTAATTTTTTCTATGATCATCTTGCATGTGGAGTAGTGATGCAAGTCAATAGGGATCATAAAAAAAATTTAGAAGGTTTAACAAGTAAAAGGGGTTGCAGATGTAATTTTTAAATTTATAATTTTATCTTTAAAAATTAAAATATAAAGTAGTCATTTTCTTAACGGTCACATTACTTTTAAATAGGTCAGAAAACTTGTATTTATTAGGAAACAACTAAAAATTCAAATTAAAACATAGAAAAAATAATAAAATATATTATAACATGAGCATTAATGCTCAAAACGTGATTATGAAATATCCAACTATTCGTTCAACAAAACATTGGTTATCTCACGGGAAATTACTTATAGAATCACTTGTAAAATTTAAGTCATGTTCAACCGCCAGATCTCATTATTATAATTTTAAAGAGGTAACTAAACATGGTTGCTTCAGATTTTTTATTATTACAATTTTAAAGAGATAACAAAATACGGTTGCTTCATAACTTTTCTTAAACCTAAATATATTTCATTAGTCCGTAAAAAAAAATATTAAACCATCTAAACAGTATATCTAGATCGTATGTTTATTTAGTAATGTCAAATCATTATCTAAATGCTTAAAATTGCTTGCGTTTACAAGCTGACCGTATCAAGTAGACTTAAGTTATCAAACCATATAAATTTTATATGTGTTGTTGTATGACTATAATTTTTCTTATTTTTTATATATCTCTGCTTACTAATTAAATTGAGATTTTAGGGTTTTTTCGACTGCACACATGTATCATGTTCCTCCAATTTGTTATCCATGACGAATTTGGACAGTTTTGTAAGTGTTGCATTTCCATTAAACGGATCGTATCTTCTCACACGGAGGACTTTCAGGTGAATTTTTGAATGGTTAGTGCGAGGCATATGCTTTCATGCCCATTCTTCTGCGATATGCTGCATGAAGAAAGCCATTAATCATAGCAGCTCATATTTCATCTAATACATAATTCAATACCAAGAGCTAATCATATTCCAATTACAAGCAGAAAACTTACACGGTTTTTCTTGACAGATAGAACTGTTCGTAGCTATTATCAAGATCGGCTTCGATATCAAACTTGTGAGAGTATTCATGCTTGAAAGAAGAAGATTAAAATGCAAGATTTAAGAGCTTGCCACAAAAAAATACGTGTACAGTAGACTCATTCTCAGGTGCCAATTTTTTGGCTCTCTCAGTTGCTTTTCTTCTTCTTGATATAAGATAGAAATACATCTCGTTCCAAGTGTAAAGTCATGTAATTAGGTGACATAATTAATGGGATTTGAGTGGAAGATGAGTTGTAATTGGTGGAGAATGAGTGGAGGATGAGTTGGTATACTTAATGGAGTATGAATGGAGGATGAGTTGTTAGGTATATATTCTTTCTAAATTTATGACCATTATACCCTTATTCTTGCCTATAAATAGGCAATGCATTCAAGTCTATATGCAAATCAAAATAGAAAGAAAAAGAAGAGAGTGAAGAGAGAGTAATCCCACAAAATTGTGAGGTATTTGTGATAGAGTAAGTGAGGTGTTTTCTACTAATAATAAAGAGATTCTTAGTTGTTCTCCTATTATTAGAGAGAGGTTGTAATTCCTACATTACTTAGTAAAATCTTTCTATACTTGTCTGTGAATGTAGCCCAATTGGGTGAACCACGTAAATTCTTATGTATTCCATTTCTCATTTTATCTTATATCTTATCTTTTATCTTGTTAGGTTTGCATGCCAGCATCCTAACACCAGGCAGCCTCGTTTATTCAGAATCAGAGTCATCCAAGGGGAAATATTCAAAAACAAGAAAACTCATAGACATAAAGCTCTTGATATGTGGAAACGAGAAAGGTAACAAACTATCAGAATTGTTAATTTAGACATGAAACAAAAAAGTTCAACAACACAAGGAGATTTCTAGTTTCCTTTCTG